GAATGTACATCCAGCAGTAGTGAATGATGATTTGCGAGGCAAGAGTAGTGCTGGCTAAGATTGGGAAGGTTGTCTATCAGCCTCGCTGGACCATGGTTCTTGGTGGTTTGGTAGTTATGTAATGATGTAACTCAGCAGTTGAGTCGTGATATATTCCTGCCCCATTTTCACATAACACTGATTCTTGCATCATCAACATAATAATCTCTGGAATGTAACCGTGTGAGTATATAACGAAGAAAACGTGCACTAGAATGTTTACCACAGCACTGCCTTATACAGAAACTGGCAACTGCCTCTTAATGGATTTAATTGTATCCCTTAAAATGTTATGTTGGAGCCCTAACCCCTATACCTTTAAATAGGACCTTGTTTGAAAACAGTATTTTCTTTTGCTATATTAACAAGGTCATACCAAACTAGAAAGTGTGAGGACAGCACAGGATAGGACAGGATTCAAGTCCGTTGTTCACAGGGTCAGTATGGGTCATACTCTACTCCATGGCACCTAACACCACTCACCACCACCAGACTACAGTGGGTCCTAAACCTAAACCCTTCAAGGGGTATCATAAAAGAATAGAGAGAGAGATACACCCCAGAGAAGATAGGCACCAGGGAAAGAAAGGTCATCTCCACGCAAAGGAATGCCAAGGATTAATAAAAGGCACAAGAAATTAGGAAATAGGTCCATCAAAAGGGTCTACAATGGAACTACAGGGTCATGCTTTATCACGGGTCCTAAACTCCTAATTGTGTTGTAGCTGAGGCTTTTGTATGTTTTGGAAGGTCTGATGGCAGTCTGTAGAGCTGTAAACTCGCAGGCTGCACCTCTCAGAAGTCTGAATCCTGGAGTCGCTCCTCAGGGGAAAGCTGTGACATCTCCTCCCACGCAATTCATCGCCTCGACAACCCAAGGTCAGCTAAGGCTCTGGTACAAATATGACAGCAGCTTCAGTCACACACCATATACGAGACCAAATCTTACTTCATTTCTACCTAAAACCAAGAATTCCAACAGAGTTTATTAATACTCTACTCCCGAGGGCACTTTTACAGAGACCTGGCAAGATCAGGTTCTTCTCAGGGGTCCTCGTCCAGGCCCACCCACTAACTACAGTCTTGTTGTCATGTACTGTTCAATTGGAGTCAATACCTAGCTGATCCTCCAGCGGTCATTTCAATTCCCCCTTGCAGGGGTAGACTGGAGCATTTTATGAACAGCATGGTGTTCAGATCATTTCATAAAGAAAAGCAAGGTACTTTTAAAAATCTGAAGAGTAAAAAGAAAGAAAAAAAATCTGAAGCACCCCAGCTTGATGGACAAATGACTTTGGTTCTAAGTCCCCAAGAAGCCCCACCCCAAGGCCACCACAGACCTGCATGGCTGGGTGCCCCCGCCTGAGACCATCCTGGACAGTCAGTCACAGCTCAGCTGAGCACATCAGCTGACATATCAATAAGCCTAAGCACTGGAAAAACGTTTTCACATCACAAAAGTGAACATCTCAGTCACAAATACACTCATTGAAACTCAATACATTTGCTGCTAAATGATTTCAGAAAGCTGCCAAAAGCTCATCTTTATTGATCAGTAATCAGAGTTCAGCTCTTACTTTGCAGGGTGCACGAAGTTCAAGTCAAAATAATCCATACACATGAAGTTACTAATAATTCCCCTTTAACATGGCATTTCCCTCTAGGGCTTTCATGTCCTAGTTTTGAAAATAGTCCATCTTCTGTACCAGGCAGGGCTGCCCAACAGAACTCTTAAAGGAAGGAAATGTTCTCCATCAGCACATCCAGAGCTCTGGGAGGGGAGATAACGCAAAGATGGCCTGGACAAGGTCTACAGGTTTCCTCCAATATGAAGGACCAAACAAAATATTGACGCTGATTCCACTACTTCACTGGCAGGATCTTCAGCTTGCACAATTTCACAAGGCTTCGCTTCAACCACAACGCTCTGCCAGTATAGTCCAAAGAAGTTGCACTACTAACCCAAAGGTTATGCATCTCTGCCAGTTCGAATCCACCAGTGGCTTCAAGGAAGCAATCTCCTCCTGTGCAATACACAGCCTCCAAAAACCTGCTGGAGGGTCAGTTATGAGTTGGCTCTGACTCAACAGCAATGAGTTTGAGTTCTGAGTTTCCCTCAACCAGAAGCAGCACAAAACTCAGAAAGGAGGTTGGGGACATGCATCCTTCAGAGCTGAGGGCACATCCAATCCAGTCAGCCCCAGCAGCCAGGGGACATGGACAGTCTCACCATCACCGAGAATGGGAGTCATAAACAACACCCACTTGGTTCTTCTTCCAGAAGATGACAGGGTGAGGGGAGCAGGACCAATGGTGCACACCTTCCACAAGGTGTGCTCACCCCTGGGTGTTGGAATCAGCAGCCCAAGGATTCTTCACCTGATTTCAGCTTCTTGGTGTGCCCATTGGGCCCTGGCTGTGGGCTCTTTCGTCGCTGTCTCTTCAGCTGCTGCAGCTGCAGTCTTTCTTCCTTCTTCTTCAGGTAGGCTGTCATGTTGTCAAAAGTGGCCTTGTACAGACTGCTGAAGCTGTCCCCCACACCTGCAGACCCTGGACAGAGACAGAACAGATGCCAAGGGGGACAAAGGTCAGGAAACCACCTATTCAGATACTGCTCCAGTTACTGTGACAAGAACTCAAAGCGCTTCCGCCCTCTATTGGACAAGGCCAAGTGTATTTCCCAAACCAAACTAAAATGGAAAACGGAACAAATCTGTATTCAAGGAGGAGACCTTGGCCCATGGAAACCCATGTATCTTAGCGGTTTCAATGGCTGATTTCTCAGCAGTTGGTCACTAGGTCCTTCTGAGGCACGTCTGGGTAGATTCAAACTGCCAGCCTTTGAGTTAGCTGTACTAACCATTTATACTACTCAGAGACTTCATGCAGTTCCAATATACTCTACCTTTCTAGTCATCAAGTGGGACCCCAATGTATACGGCACTCTGCAATCTACATTTTTCTACAGACAATTCTGAACTTGTTCCTAAGATGCCATTTACAGTAGTGTTCTCACCTTCTAACATGTCCCAATTCCCTTGAAGATGACCGGACACTTTCCTTAGCACATCATTTTCAGAAATGGACTGAAAAAGACAAATGGATGGAATACTTTTCTCAGAAAAAGCCAGCACTGGAACCAGCAGGCACTGTGTAGCACACGTGATAGGAAATCTGCTGGTGGGCAGATCCACGCAGCCTCCACATGCTGCCGGTGTTCTGGCTCAGACCCAGGGAGGGCGCTGTCCACCAAGCACGTGGTGACTGCTGCTCATGACACACACTCGTGCCAGGAGCGCAGCTGGGGCTCCTGCGGGTTCACCATGCTGAATGCCTCACTCAAGGGGACCACAGACCTGGCCTAAACCCCTAGGAGGCTATTTAGCTCTGCTTGTCAGATAAGAACACCAAAAGGTACGAAGGGTGTCGGCCAAGCCCTCAGTCCAACAAGCAAGTTAAAGGTTACCCAAGTTCCCATGTAATGTCCTCCACAACGTCCTGTTATAAGGGACATTCCCACTTTACAGATGGAGAAACTGACTCAGCGAGGTGTGGGCTCATTCTCATTACCCTGAACAAGCAGCTGCCTCCTCAAGGCAACTCCTCTCCCCACTCTGGGGGCTTCCAAACTATTCACGGTCTCCCCATCGAGGGCCCCAGGCACTTGAGGGACACAGAACTAAGCCACACCAGGTCAGCCTCAATGCAGACAAGATGTATATAATGAGAGCACTGAGGACAATTCACAAAAGCAAGCCATTTAAAAAAATTTCCAAATATGGAATCTATTTCTGGCATCATCAGCTTTGTAGACCCTGGCCAAAAGCTCCCTTCAGCAGCCAGGAGCCCCCTGGTCCCTGCCCCCTCATGTACACAGGACTGGGACTAAGACGGGACAGACCTCAAACACTTTGTGTACAAAGCCAACATCAGTCCCCCACCCTCACAGCTTAAGGGACTATAGGAGCCAGGTCTTTCCAGATGTGTGTCCCTCACCTGCCACTGGCCCTGCACTGGCTGACAGAGCACCAGCGGAGCTTCCTGGCAGTCCTGCAGGACCCACAGACCCTGCGTCTCCTCAAAGGCAACATCCCACACTCGGTGTTGGAAGGACAGCTGCTGCTTATAAACTAGCTGCCGCTGAGGGGCGTCCAGCTGGAAGATGTAGACCACAGGGATACTGGGCATGGAGAGAAGAGAAGATATAGTCAGTACCACCAAGCTGAGTGAGTATCAACCGACATGGACACGTCCCGGCACCTACCACAGATGAGCTGGCCTCATGTGGGGTCCAGACCAGCAGCTCAGCCTCTGCGGAACCTACTGAAATGAAGAGCTTCAGGCCACTACAGACCCACTGAACCAGAAACCTGGGGAGGCTTGGAGGGAGCCAAGAGAGTGCCTATAAATCTTCCAGGTGACTGTGAACACACACTCCAGTTTGAGAATCACTGTTTTAGAACATAGATCAGCAAGTCTTTTCTGCATCTTAGGCTCTGTGTATCATCTGTTTTCTATTATATCCTACTGCTGTTGACCCACATGGAAATTTTACTAGCATATAATCATGTGTCACAAAGCATCTTTTGGATTTCTTTGCAGACATTTAAGAAATAAAATATTTTATCACTCCTAGGCTATACAGAAATAGTAGGTCAAGTCTGCTATACAATAAAATTTAAGTTGCCGAATGAAGTACACTGTTAGGAAAGTAGAGCCAATAATTACGTGTAGACCATGGAATCCTCTCTGCTCTGAAATATAAAGGGAGTTTTTGATGTAAATCATGGCCTATTATGGTTGCTAGGGGTCATCAAGTCAATTCTGACTCAGTAGCCCTGTGCACAACAGAACAAAACACGGCCCAGCCCTGCACAATCGTCATTGTATCGGGGCCCGTGTTGTAGCTGCTGCACACAATCAAGCACTTTAGACTCTCTCCATAACTATAAAGCTAAAGTGCACACACAAGCCCTAACCTGAATCCCTGAGTAACTAAGTCTTTCTCATGTTAGGGACCAAGGCAAATGCACAGGACAAGAGCCAAAGACTCTGGGGGCTTCCCATTAGGGGGAACTTCCTGCATTGCACTGTTCTGGGGGCGTGATTCTGTCCCATCAGTTTACTGGGCGGGTGGGATGTTCTATCACTGCAGTGATTCTATACAATCAACTGGAAGGAGTGGTTGCTATGTACCTTCAAGTGGAAACAGATTTGTAGCTGACACTTCAGCAGGTTTGCAGAGGCAGTTAATCACACAGGAGGAGACTGTCCATCTTTCTCCTGTGGAGCAACGGTGGATTCAAACTGTAAACCTTTGGGTTGGCAGCCCAACTCCTACCCATTAAGCCACCAGAGCAGTACTGCCCCTGGAAATGATTGTATGATGTACATACACACAAAAAATCAGAAGCCATTACTGTCTTTAAAGCTAGAAAATTTTAGCTGAGAAAATCAACTGAGAGAATGCCCTTAAAGAAATTCATAGCCCACACAACAGCATAACCATCAAGTAAAATCCAGTGGAAAGAAAAATTATATCAAAAGCAATGTCTATGTTTTCACCATTTAGGATAATGGAGTCTGTAGGATGAATGCAACAATTCATTTAAATACCACCACCCTCCAACCACACCCAAAAAGCCCATGGAAGAAGTCACACAAGAATGCCAGGCACGTACTTGTCACACAGCAGGGCAACACAGTGGTTCTGGAGGCAGTATGTGATTCGGGACGCAGCAAACCTCTGCAACAAAGAAGAAGCTTAGTGGCCACTGCCACCTAGGAGTGACCCAGATAGCAGTGTCCAATCTGAGAGGAGACTCACAAAACTGAATGACCCACACACGTGGGCGTGGAAGTGGCACAGGGAGAGTCCCAGGCTTTCTGGAAAACCATAGGCCACTCATTCACACACAATTCCCTCTCACTGGGGTGAAGGGTAGAAACTCCAATTAGCTCCAGCCCTTATGTCAGACTTTTTTTAATGTCTCCGAAACGAAACTTGCCAAAAACAACAATAGAGAACTCAAAGGTGGAAAAAAAAGGGAATGTTAATTACCAGAAACATGAACCTGAAGAAGCTGGAGCACAGGGAATCTGAGGCACACAGGTGCTGGCAAGGAGCCAGCCCAACCTGAGTCAGACCTCACACCACGACCGGGAACGAGCACAGCCTCCCCTCCCCAAGTGGCCACACGGGTGAAGTGAGAGTGCAGCAGCTGGACCACGGCCAGGTTAACAGCCTGTGGGTCCTCTGACCCAACCAGACCATGTCTGAGGTGCTCACCTCCAGCACCCTGTCAGGATGACAGGCCTACAGCAACCTATCACGATGGCAGGCCTAGAGCACCCTGTCATGATGGCAGGCCTTCAGCACCCTGTCACGATGACAGGCCTTCAGCACCCTGTCACGATGGCAGGCCTAGAGCACCCTGTCAGGATGACAGGCCTAGAGTAGTCTGAGGGCTGCACAGACCATGAGCAGACACATCCTTCTTTTCACTGTCTCCCTCTCAAAATCAGCACTCACCCCTGGACCAGGGCATAGACACCAAGGGTCCATGAACACCTGTTCTATCAAGCGGCAGGGGTCCAAAGAGAACTGCAGGGGAAACCAGAGCTCTCGGGCCTAGGATACACAGTAGGGCACCCATTCCATCAAGAAATTGCTCACTGGGCAGGGTCATGCACTAGCCACACAAATCCTAGATGAAACAGAAGCAAAATCTTTCCACCCCTGTGCAGGCCTGGACCCAGGCCACTCCAGGAGAGAGCAGAGGGGAGAAGACAAGCATCCTCCAGAAGGAGCATCCCGTCCCCTGATATCCTTGCTTTCTCAAGCCGGCAGGCTCCAGAGCAATAAAAAAGACAGTCAGACCTTTCTGAATGAAAACTTTCCCAGCAACCAAAGATCAACTAACATGACCCCAGAGACACATAACAGGGCTGCAAAGAGATTCAGAGAAATCCATCAACGAGAGGAATCGTAGCAAAAACACAGAGCCTAGTTTTCAAAAGCTAGAGGCCAAAGAGTCAATGAAACAAAGGTAAACAAGCAGGATAACAGCCGGCTCCAAACAGCACTTGGTTCTGTATGTCACCTAAGGCCAAGTGCCAGGCTCCAGCTCCACCACGCTCCAGAAGGGCCTGCGGGCATGGGGACCATGAAAACCATTGTCACTCCCACAGATGCTCCCACTTAAAAGGGACTAGAAATTGTGTTACTGTCACTCTTTGATGGAGTCTATTGTGAGGATAAGGAAATACAGGAAGCTCCAAGTATTTAAACACCATTAGCTTCAGCACTGGACACCAGACAGCTCAGAGAAGCAACAAGTGGCCTCTGACACACTCAGGAAGCACACACTGCCCTCTCCTGTCACCTGGTGATGTATTTAAGCACAGTAAGGATCACTGCACAGGAGGAAGGGTCCAGCAGGTGGCACTGTGTGTCATCCAGGGCCTGCATAAGAGGGCACAGTGGAGGCGCAGACATCCCATAGAGCCAGGTCAGGAAGGTCAAGCTTTAAACAGTGACACCCGTGGAGAAGGGGCACCCAGAGTGCTCCTTGGAGGCAAAGATGATAATGCTTTGTCTCACATACTTTGGGCATGCTGCTTGAAGTTATTCCTTGGAAAAGGACATCATGCTTGTAAAGGTAGAGGGGTGCTGAAAGACAGGAAGACCCTTCATGAGATGGACTGACTGCAGCAATGGGCTCAAGTGTGTCAGAAATTATAAGGATGTTAGAGTAGTGAGAGAAGATCTTCACCCTGAAACCCACAGCGTCCCTTTTCAGCAGGAAGTAGCTAAGAGAATACGCCGTCCCCTTTTCCTTATGACTCAGGGTGAAGTCTCTCTCAGGGAGGAGTGATAGGGAATGGCAAAGGACACACAGACAAAGAAGATTAATCAGAACTGGCTTTGACAAGCACTGTGGCATTTGGACAAGAACAAACTGGGAGGAAGGTAGAGAGAATAGTGCAACAATGAATGAGTGGAAGCCCAAAATCTCTGTAAATGTTTATGAAAATTAATAAAAATATAATTATAGAAAAAAAAAAGAAATTATAAGGATGATACCAGATAAGACAGGGTTCAAATCTGTTGTTCATAGGGGCGCTATGAGTCATACCACCAGCCAACCCCTCAGCACTGCCAGGAAAGCAAAACGGTGGTTCCTGTGAAAAGCTGAGGAATGAATGAACATGCATAGAGCACTGGAGCCAGGACAGCTACTGAAAATTGCAAAACGCACTGCCCAGGAAGCACAGCCCAGGTCAGGCACAAGTGATACCTGCAGGAGAACAAGGGGCCCAGGAGGCTGTGCTGCGTGCACCCTGAGAAGACAGGGCAGGCAGGAAGCAAGAGGGCATAGGTGGCAGAACCCTGTGCAAAAAACGAGGGTCATGGGACACTTGACCTATATACAACATAGGCTGAACAGGAGGCTGGAAACTGAGCGAAGGCCTTGTCTCCTCCCCACCAGGTTTGCATCTCACCTGGCTGAGTTTCCACCTGGCACTGCTCACCAGACAGAACAAAGCACCCAGTAAGATGACATAACCAATGCATGCAAAATTTATGAGCAACAGGCTCAGCACTTCCTGGCCCTAAACGCAGAGGTTGCTCAGGGCAGAATCCCACTAAACACCACACAGCACTCACATCCCCATCCTCTTGCCAAGGCTGCTGGCTCAGGTACAGTGTTCTCCATTTCAGGCAGGAGGCAGAGGTGAATGATCCTTCTATGCACAAAAGCTGAGACTCACACACCACATCCACTGGCATGACAGATACCCTCAGTACTGAAATACCCGGCTTCCTCACACTGGGAGACATCTGGCATTAGTGCCAACAAAGTGCTGCCAACATAAAAGCAAGTGTTCTCACAGAACCGAGGGGACTGGGTACATGCTGACAAGTCCAGGTTAACCACATGGCACCTTACCTTCTCATTCTGGGGGGCATCTGGCTCCTGAAGGCTACTCACAAGACAGCAGTGTAGCTCCCGCCCGCTTGGGTACTCCCAGAGCCGCAGAGTGCCGTCCTGCACGCCAAGCACACAGGTTAGCCCAAGCCCAAAGGAAACAAGGGATCAGGCACTCAGCTGTGGTCTGTGAAAATGCTGATGAGTGGGAGACACATGGCCTCCATAAACCAGAGACACCCTGGTCATCACACTGCACAGGAGCTCACGTGAAGAGTGGGGGAAATTACAGTCAATGGACCAAGAGCATAAGACAAGCTGACAGTCTTGCTCTAGGAAGTTGCAAACCATGTCTGGTGAGTTCACACTCACAAACATGTACACGCGTGCACGCACACACACACACACACACAAATACACAGCAGGGAGGAAGGAGCAGGTCAGGGTGCTCTACTACTTAGGATGGGCAAGCACCACCTAGTGGGCAGCCAAGGACAAGGGGTGTCTGAACTTCAACCCACAAAGGATGCCCTGCACCTGAGAAACCCCATCACCACCCAACCCCAGCTCTGGGCTCGCAGCCCTGCTGCAAGGAAACCAGAGAGAGAGACTGGCACAAGCAGCACTCACCCCAGAAGTGGACAGCAGCAACTCCGGTTGGTCGGGCACCACAAATATGCGGCTCACGAACCTGCAGTGAGAAGACAAGGAGCAGCAATCAGCCCAGGCTCTTTGGCATCAGCACATGGAGGAGGCAGCCTGGAACTCGGGAAGCAGAGGCCTCCTCACCCTGACCTTAACAGATCTGTCTATCCCCAAAAAAGGAGTGCATGTGGTAGGAGTTGGGGACATGTGTGCTGTCCTCAGGACTAGACCAATAGCACATGAGCATTTCCACGAGGGGTGCTCCCAGCCCAGGCACTGCCCCCGCCAGTCATGGCCACTGAGCATCTTCTCACCTATTGTGAGGCACCCATGTCAGTATCCATCAGCCACTGAGTGGTGATGGTACCTCTAATGGACAGGGAAACCCAGAGAGAAGAGCTCAGAGGAGGGAAAGGATGTAGAAACAACCATACCCACACACAGCCAGGTCCTGGGCATAGAAGCCCCCTCAATGGAACAGGACAAGTCTGGTTATTCCCCAACTAACTCACAGCCTTGGCACCAAAAATCTGAGTGTCTAGGCCAATGACTCAGGAAAGGAGCTGTCTTGGCTGGACCACATCAAGTATTCCACGCAGAGCTCTACCTGTGATAGTCACAGAACGCCACGTGACAGCTGCTCTCCTGAAAAAGCAGTGGTTTAGACTGGACCCCAGGGGGCAGCATGACCCCAAAGCCCAATGCAGGCCTGTCAGTAGCCTTCACACGTAAAGGGTGGGAAGTACGCTCACTCGTGCCAGCTCAGCCATTGAAATGCAACCACTCCTTCGCTGGTCCCTTGGGCAGGCCCACCAGGCTCCACCCCCAATCAGGTCCCTCCTGACCTACCACAACCCCTTCCCAAGGGCTGCCTTCCACAAAGATGCTAGGGATCTCAGTTTCAAAAGGAAAAAGAGAAAATATACATTCCAGAAACAGCATAAGCAGCTGGAGGAGCGGCAAGCTATATAGAAACAGACCATGAGACTTATGTGGTGCACAGAGACCAATGCAGTGTGACACAGAAAGTAGGAATTTGAGTCAGAACTTTTATTAAAATAATTAGTTTAGGAGACACAGGAGCAGCAAGCCACGGGCCCTGGCAGAAGCCACCAGCTGAGTCCCGGCCAGAAGCCACCGGCCGAGCCGCTGTGGGACCCACCCTCCAGGAGCAAGCAGGTTCTTTGAAGAACAAACTGTTATCTGGCTTGACCACACAGGACCCCTTAACTAAGGCAAACAGGGTAACATGGCCCCCTTGATGGAGGCGAGAAGCCATTTCGAGAAGAGAACAGGCTTCCTCCTTGGACACTCAGGTACTTTCGGGAACAAATCTAGGGGCTTTTCAAAATATTGCTGTGGACCAACATGGACATTTGAGAATCATGGGAACTGCAAATATTGGTGGGGTGCAGCGAGATTTGGCAGGGTACAGTGAGCCTCAGTGGTGGGGAGCAGGGAGCTGCAGCGGGACCCACCCTCCAGGAGCAAGCAGGACAGCCTGAAATTGAGTAAATGTCTCCCCCGCATCCCTCTCCCTTGTGCATCTGTGTGCACATCACTCCCAACCCACACATGAGTCAGCACGTGCTACCCACCCTTCACGCATCCACTTGTGCACCTGCCCAAACTTCTTCTGGGGAAGTGATGTCAGATCAAGAACCAGCTATTGCCTCAGGCACGAAAAAGTCTACCACAGCAATGTCCTGAAAGAAGCAGACTACCTCACTCCCCGCACACGCACAAAGCAAGAAATCACCATTAAAAAGTGACACAGTAGCAATTGATTTCCTGAAGCCACAAAATCCTATAGAACTTTCTGACACAGAATTTAAAAGAATAATGATTGAATATTTTCAATGGGTGAAAAACAAACTTGAAGAATTACAGGACACTGCAAGCAAAAAATCAGGAGGAGTTTAAAAAAAAAAACCTATCCAAAACAATGCAGATAAAACTAACGAGATATTTGAGGCACTAGATAAACAAGAAACCACGATCCAAAATATGAGGTTGAAGGTTTCAGATGCTGTCAACATGACATAGGGACATATGAACAGAGTTGAAGAGATAGAACACAGAAGCAGTGAAAAAGAAGATAGAATCATCACAACTGATTTGCTAAAGAAAAAGCCGAAACCAAAAAAAAAAGGAAAAAGAAGAAAACCTAAGAATACTGTAGGACCCCATCAAGAGAAATTACATGTGCATCATCAGAATCCCAGAACAGGAAGAAGCAAGTAAAGGCACCAAAAAAAGTTTTGGAAAAATTACTAGAAGAAAATTTCCCAGGCATAATGAAAAATGATAGAATATATATTCAAGAAGCTGAGCAAACACCATATAGAACAGACCCCAAAAGAAAAATACCAAGGCATACCACAGTCAAATTTGCCAGAACCAAAAGAGAGAATTCTGAAAGCAGTGAGGAAGAAACAGAGTACACTGTAAGGGAGAGCAGATAAGATTAAATGCAGATTTCTCAGCAGAAACCATGTGAGCAAGAAGACAATGGAAAGACATATATCAAACATTCAAAGAACACAACTGTCAACCAAGATTATTTTACCCAGCAAAACTGTCCATCAAATATGAAGGAGAGAGCATGATATTCCCAGAAAAGAAGAACCTAAGAGAGTTTGTAAAAACAAGACCAGCATTGCAGGAAACATTGAGAGACGTCCTTCTTCCAGAGGTGCCACAGAAAGCAGGATGGACCAAAGTAACTAGCAACAACCCCAAAAAGAACTCAACAAAATGACAGCAATAAAACCCTGCCTTTCAATAATCATACTGGACGTGAATGGTTTGAATGCACCACTGAAGAGAAAAAGAGTAGCAAATTGGATAAAAAACAAAATCCATCAATATGTTGTCTACAAGAGATACACCTGAAAAATCAAGATAAAGAAAGACTAAAAATAAAAAGGTGGGGGAAAATATACCAAGCAAATGGCAACCAGAAAAAAAACAGAAGTAGTGATATTTATCTCTGGCAAAATAAATTTCAATTCAAAAACCACCACAAATGACAAGGAAGATCACTACATAATGCTCAAACGGTTAATAGAACAAGAGGACATAACAATATAATAAGTTAAGTATCTATGCACCACATGAAAGATCTGCAAAATATATAAAACAAACATTAACAAAACTGAAAAAGGAAATAGATAACACTACTATAGAAGTTGGAGACTTCAATACATGCCTCTCAAGAAAAGACAGAACTACCAGAAAAAAACTCAACAAAGATGCTCAAAAATTAAACCACACAATAAACCAACTCGACCTCATAGATATTTATAGGCCAATGCACACACACACAAAAAAAGAAAACCCAACACAGTATACCTTCTTCTCCAATGTGCATGAAACATTCTCCGGAATAGATTACATTTTAGGTCACAAGGCAAGCTTCAATACATTCAAAAGCAAAGAAATAATGCAAAGCATTTTCTCGTAGCACAATGCAACAAAATGAGAAATAAATAACAAGAGGATAAAGGAGAAAAAACCCATTTGGAAGCTGAACAACACCTTGCTTGAACATGAATGGGTACTAAAAGAAATAAAAAATGAAATTAAAAAAACTCTTGAAACAAATGACAATGAAAACACCACTTACTAAAACCTCTGGGAAACAGCCAATGCAATAATCAGAGGTCAATTTATAGCAATAAGCAAACATCAAAAGACAGGAAAAAATGACCATTGATTTTCTCACCCAACATCTCCAACAAATTGGAAATGAACAGCAAGAAAACCCAACATCCACAAAAGACACTGAAATTATAAAAATTAGAGCAGGAATAAATTAAATAGAAAACAGAAAAACAATTGAAATCATCAACAAAACTGGGAGTTGGTTCTTTTAAAAGGTCAATAAAATTTAAAAACCAGTAGCAAAACTAACAAAGGAAAAGACACAAATTATCTGAATAAGAGATGAAATGGGCAATGTCACAACAGAGCCAACTAAAATAAAAAGACTAACATTGGAATATTATACTAAAAAAATGTGAAAATCTAGAGGAAACAGACAATACTTAGAAATTCACAACCTACCTAAACTGACACCAACCAAAATTGAACTCCTGAACAGACCCATTATAAAAGAAGAAATTGAAAAGGTAATAAAACAACTTCCAGCCAAAAAAAGTCCTAGACCAGATGATTTTACAAGTGAATTTTATCATTCAGAGAAGAACTGTCACCAATTCTACCTAAAGTATTTCAGAAAATAGAAAAAGATGGAATTCTCCCAGACTCATTCTATGAAGCAAACATATCCCTGATTTCAAAGCCAGGAAAAGAAACCACCAAAACAGAAAACTATAGGCCAATATCTCTCATGACCATTGATGCAAAAATCCTGAATAAAATCTTGGCCAAAAGAAACCAACAATACATTTAAAAAAAAAAAAAAGAAAACCCAACACACCCTGACTAAGTGCGATTCATAATTAGTATGTAAGAATGGTTCAACATAAGAAAAACAATCAGTGTAACTCATCAAATTAACAAAGCAAAGAACAAGAACCACATGATCCCATCAATTGATGCAGAAAAGGCCTTTCACAAAATCCAACACCCTTTCCTGATTAAAACACTCAACAAAATAGGATTAGAGGGGAATTTCTACACCATAGTAAAAAGTATATATACACAAACCCAAGAGCCAACATTATTCTCAATGGAAAGAGATTCCCCTTGAAAACAGGAACTAGGCAAGGATGCCCATTATCACCTCTCCTGTTCAATATTGTACTGGAAGTCTTAGCCATAGCAATAAGGCAAGAGAAGAAAGCAAAAGGTATCCAATTGGTGAAGAGGAGGTAAAATTACCTCTCTATGCAGATGATATGATAGTATACTTAGAAAACCCTAAAGACTCAGGAAGAAAACTACTAGACGTAGATGACCAATTCGGCAAAGTGGCAGGATATTAAGATCAACACACAAATATCAATAGGATTTTTCTACAGTAACAAAGAGAATACTGAACTGGAGCTAAGAAAAACAATACCCTTCACAATAACTAATCACAAGATTCAATACTTGGGAGTAAATGTAATCAGAAGCACAAAGGATCTATTCAAAGAAAATTACAAAACAATACTACAAGAAACAAAAGGAGAACTGGAGAAGTAGAAGAATATCCTTTGCTCACGAATAGGAAGACTCAATATTGTGAAAATTACAGTACTAGAAAGGCAATTTACACATTCAATGCAAGCCCAATACAAGTATCAATTCCATTCTTTAACGAGATAGAAAATGCAATCTCCAATTTCATTTTAAATGGAAAGAAGCCCCAAATAAGCAAAGCACTCCTTAAAAAGAGAAACAAGATAGGAGGCATCTCACTCCCTGATTTCAAATTCTACTACACTGCTGTGGTGGTCAAGACAGCATGGTACTGGTACAATGACAGACATATAGATCAATGGAATAGAACTGAGAATCCAGAAATCATCCCATCTACCTATGGTCAACTGATTTTTGACAAGGAATTGAAATCAGTTAAATGGGAAAATGACAGCCTTTTTAACAAATGGGGCTGGCAAAATTGAAAAACTATCTGTAGAAAACTCAAGCAAGATCCACACCTCACTCCATACAAAAAACAACTCAAAGTGGATCATGGACGTAGGACTAAAACCCAGGACTATAAACTTCATTAAAGAAAAGCTCAGAAGAACTCTAGAAGTCCTAATCTATAACATAAACAGTCTTCCAAGCATCCTGAAAAATTTACAACCAGGAGAGGATAGAATAGATGAATGGGACCTTCTAAGACTCAAATCCTCCTGCACATCCAAAAACTTCTCCAATACGGTAAAAAGGGAAGCCACAGATTGGGGGAAAAAAATATTTGGTAATGACATGTAAGGCAGGGACTTATATCTAGAATATATAAGATATTTGAAGACCACAATAAGATAAAGGTAAACAACCCAGTTGAAAAATGGCCACAGGATATGAACAGACACTTCACCAAAGACATTCAGACGGCAAACAAACACATGAAGAAATGTTCAAAATCCTTACCTCTAAGAGAGATGCAAATCAAAACAACTATGAGATATCATCTCACCCCAGTAAGAATAGCAAAATTTAACAGAACAGCAAACACCAAATGCAGGCAAAGTTTTGGAGAAACTGGAACCCTTACTCACTACTGGTGTGAGTGTAAAATGGTGCAATCACTGTGGAAGGCAGTATGGTGCTTTCTCAAAAAGTTGCAAACAAAAATACCATCTGACCCAGCAATTCCACTACTGGGAATATAGCCTAAAGAAACCATAACCACCACCCAAGTAGATGTATGCAGCCATGTTTATTGTGGCTTTGTTCACAAAAGCAAAGAGTTGGAAACAACTCAAGTGCCCATCAACAAACAAATATATAGAGAAACTCTGGTATACTCACACAATGGAATACTAGGCTGCACTGAAAAACAAGGAACTCATGAAATATTATACAAAATGGGTGACCCTGGAGGACATTATGCTGAGTGAAATATCTCAGTCACAAAAGGACAAATATTGTATAATTGCCACTGTTGTAAAATGGACTGATATCAGGGTTGAGAGAAGATTGAGAAAGAAGGGATAAATAATGTATACTACATTGAAACAGATGAGGGAGAGAACTACAGTGGAGTTCTTTTACTTTTCAAAGAGAAGACAAATTGGGTGGGGGGTGGGCAAGGAGAAATATACAACAAACAGATGCATGGAAATCCAAAGTCTCTGTAAACTTTTATTAAAATTAATAAAAAAAGAAAGAAAAACCCATTAAAAAAAACAAAACAAAACAACAAACCACCATACATTCCAGGACAAACATCCCATGCCTTCATGGCACACAGTTTTCATTCCAGAGGGATCAGGTCCTTTTCAACTTCTCAAGAAGAAAGAAGCCATTACCTCTTTCAAATAAATATCTACTAACCCCTTATCACAAGCACAATGCTGACTAAGGGTAGAGCAACAAGCAAAACCCACAAAGTTGGAACTGGCATACTGGAGGAACACAAGCAGGTATGTGAACGTGAGTGAAGGGCCAAACACAGTGCTGCCCTGAAGAATGTGAGCTGAGCCACACAAGTAGGCATGACTCTAACTGTTCTTCTAGGAGTGGAAATTATAAAGGGACCAGAAACAAGTGAAATTAATTTTAGCAACTTATTTCTACTTCCTTGTAAGGAGGGACAGGTTTTGGAGAGGGGACATCATGCTTGGGAGGGTGGAGGGACGGCATAGGAGGGGAAGGCCCTCTATGAGGTGGATTGATTCAATGACTGGGGCAATCAGGATGGGTGTATCAGACACAGTGCGATTAGCACAGGACAGAGCGGAGTTTAGGGCTGTTGTACATAGGGTCACTATGAGTTGCAAGCAATTTGACGGCACATAACAACAACAACATTTCTACTTCACACAGTATATCCAAAATATTGCCTATTAATCCATAATCAATATAAAGAATTACTGAGATGAAATGTGTCCCAATCTTCTTCAAGTTAAGCCTTTGAAGTTGGCCCACCTCACCTTAGACTTGCCACACGTGGCATGTGCCTCATGGCTCCCATGCTCGATAGTGGTGGCTGAGGAGAAAGTGCCAGGTGGGGAGGGAGTCCTGTGAGGTAGCGGCCAGGGAAGGCCATGCTGAGAACAGGCGGCAGCAAACTCAGAGCTAAGACTCCAGAAAGAGTGTGGGATATGGGGATAAAAAGCAGTTCTTCCTCAAAATAGAAAGGAGCAAAGGTCCTGTGAGTAGCAGGCTTGGTGGGGTTGGCCCAGCAAAGACCCTAGGAAGCACAGAGCAATGGAAAAGGGCCAGAAATCTTGTGGGTCACAAAGGCTCCAGATTGCTGACTATTACAAAAGCAAACAAAATATAAGCTCTCACGAAATATAAAACAAGTGCCCAAAAATCCTCTTAAGGTAAAATGTCTACTTTCCATTAGAAACCAAGACAATATGAGCAACCCCAGAACTGAAGTCAGTCCCTCCAATATCCCCCCATTCTCTCAAATTATGCATTTTCAAACATTTCAGCCAATTAAACAAAGTGCTTTTTCTCTGAGAAAGTTCTAATTAGCCTTTGCCTGAGAAAAGTATTCTTTAGAAATGTCATTCTTATCCATCAATGTTCCATTAAGAAAAGAGAGCTTCTGTGCCAGCAGGCAAGGGTAATGGCCACTGCCGAATTCAAGGCTCTTTGCTCCTTTGACAGTTAAAATCAGTATGATGGTCACTACCAAACTGCCCAGCAGACCCTGGGCCTCCACCCAGAGAGCTGTTCTGGAGGTCCCAGAACCAACCTCCGATGGGAGCTGATGTGCAGTAACAGCCCAGAGGCACAGGCTCAGGGCCAGGTCCTTGCTCTCATGCTCCTGATCACACTAACACAGCAAAAATGCCCCGTCTGTTCTGGCTAAGACTTCAGTAGAAATAAAAACAAAAAGTCCTGAAACTCCTTAGGACTAGGAGGGATTGCAGACGAGCAAATGACCACTGAGCCTGACAGCACTTCCAGGGATGACACCTGGGTGGGGGAGGTAAGCACCTCCACAAACAATGACCCCCCCCCCACCTTCACGTCTATAAATCCCAGCTCATGCTGAGCCTGAGAGAGTGCATGGGGGGGGGGCGGGGGGGAGAGGTGCACGGGGAGGGCACTCACTCAGTGTGTCCCAGGCAGAAGGACTCAATGTTGTGGGGTGCTGCCGACCAGCTCACTCGGATCTTCTCATCTCGGTCTGCAGTGAGCACATAGCGGTCATCAGGACTCACCGCCTGCATAGAGGAGACAAGGGAAAGAAGATGCAACAGCTGCATGTCATGATGCCCCGGACTGTCCTCCAGTGTCTGGGACCCACCAATGCCCCAAATGACTTTCAATGGTGTTGGGACAGCAGCATGACCCAACACCACAACTGTTGCAGACACTGCTCTGGACACACAGGAGCTTTACTTCCCTAAAATTGAGGACACAGAGCAGCTTCAGTTTAACTAATACATGAACCACTCTCTCTGCTCTGAGCCACTCATCCTTTTTGTTTTTGTTTCTGCGGCACTATTCTTATGCTCAGCCTCCATCACAACTATCCCTTCACTTCTTTCAATGTCTCAGGAGTGGCACGAGTCACCACTAGGGGGCCCTCTTCTCCTTCCAAAGATTTTGACCCCAATGCCTTAACAGAAAAGGAGCACAAGTATGTTTTACCAAATTGACACAGAAATATTTAGCAAGCTGCCTCCTTGGAGCTGAATACATCTCAGACCTAATAATGCATGACACGACGCTAGAGAGAGCCCTGTGGAATGGTCAAGACAGACTAACACAGCAGGTGCCAGCAAAGCCGGCATCTACCTACCACATCCAACAGCATAGACAGGTGCCCCAGCTCGAGCTTCCCGCAGCCCTGGGGCTCCAACACGGAGAAAGAGTAGACGTCCCCAGACTTGTCAGCCACCAGGACCTTCTCCTCAGAGGCCGTAAAGGTCAGGGCGGTGCACCGTCTCACCACGGTTCTGGAAGGCCAGAGTGAGTGCTCAGGTTAGTTGTAAAGTCCACATTAGGTCCTCGGACAGACCTCAGAGCTGTGTCAGGTAGTATACATACTGGTGTAGGTACTGAGGTGTTACCCTGTTACCAATGAGAGTGCTAGACAAGTGGAGCCATTAAAACAAATGCAACAAAGCGAACACCCTAGACAGTCTGGCTTTGATATTTTGCCTTTTTAAAAACGCTTCTAATGGCAGGATTCAAAGCAGTAGTGTAAGCCTCTGCGTGACCCTCCATGAGCCTGCTCCCTGGATCGAGGCTTGTGTGCTGGGGGCTGCACAGAGGGCTGCCCAGGCCTGAGGTCGCAGTCAATGTGCATGTCCACACAAGTCTTGCCCATGGCCGGGGTCGTGAGCTCCTGCACCACACAGGCAGTCTGCTCAACATGGTGATTTGGTGTTAGCCATTAATAGCAAGGTGATGTTCACATTCCATTACCATAACTTGGGTCAGGATCTGTGCCACGTCCACATGTCTTTATCATCCGCCCTCACAACTCTATTGGAGGATAATGTGTGCTCCAAGAGGCAAGGAATCTGGACTTACTGACTTTATAAAGATGTAAAATAAAACACTCCGTATACATAAAAAGTAACACATTGTCTCTGGGAAGAAGGGCAGCTGTCCTCGTCCCTCCGTGCACTAATCTATATGCAAGCCTAAGTTCCCCAGAAAGCTCTGAAGTTCACACAGTCCCCACTGCAGCTGGACAGTCATCAGATCTTAGCTGAAAATGAAAACTGGAGCTTAAAGGAGTGATATTCTCAACACAGGGACTGGCAAGAGCCTGCATTCCAGAGCCCAGGACAAAAGGATGAAAGAAGAAAGGGACAAAGCCCTTCCAGCTGTTCTGTTCATCTGCACTGAGGCGCCTGTAACAGCTGAAACTCCTCCCCCACAAGCTTATTGGTGCCAACGGAACTGCAGAAGGGGGGCTACAATGTGTTAAATATGGAGAAAACAATGACAAGAGAACGACAATTAAGCTGGGGTGAGATTCATCAAAATTCTCCCTGTACTGTCACTGAAACAGCCTGGGGGGTGCAGCAACACTGCCCTGTGTCCAAGCGGGCTAATTAAGCAGCTGCAACTGAAAACCCCCACAGCAAGGAAAGACTGACACCCACAGAAAACAACGGCTCTGGGGCTGGCGACCTCGCTTACACTTGGGCACCAAGAAGCCCTTCTCCTGACGTACCCTTCTTGCCCCCAACTTTACCCCAGGTTTCTCCCTCCCCATCTGCCCTCACATCCAGCTCAGACAACAAAAATTGGAATTCCTCATCTGGTCCCGCTGTCTTGTGCTCTCTGCAGCTCAGCCTGAATGTGTCCTGCAAGCATGCCAAGACAGATCATATTCTGTAGTCTGATGTCTGGCTCTGTCATACAGTGAACTGTGTTTTCCAAAAGTATATGCTGAAGTCCTAACTGCAGTGGGAACTCCATATACCCAGCTTTGGGTCTCTCTTTTTTTTTTTTTAATTCAACTATGGGTTGGTTCTTTCTTGTCTCTGCTCTCTGCACAAGGTCACGCTGTGCAGCCTATGCTCCCACTCACTGAGGCCATGGTCACTGTTCACGCACCTCGACATCATCATCCACAGCCTCAACACTGGACACTCTCTGACTCAGCCCTCCAGGCATACAGCCCCTTCCCAGCTAAACAGTGCCAACAGTGTCAATGGTGGAACACTGGAAAAAAATAGAAGGGTACAACAACAGAACAGAAATAATATTCAGGATCGCTCTTTCACAACTTATAAATCAAGTGAAGGAAACAAGTGACCTCTCCCTCAGATCATAAAACAAGATACAAAATAGCATGCAGTCAATGCTACAGTTTTACACCTGCAAATGGTTACTCTTGTACAAACTGTAAAGGCACTGGCCACAGTGTTTCTTACTCACAAAGGGTATCTCTGGATGGTGAGTGAGGTTAAGGGTGATTTTTTTATTATCATTTTGTTCACTTCTGTGATTTCAGATTTTCTGTATGGACCATAAAAGTAAAAAGGAAAATGAAAAACATTCACATAGCAAGGCACCAGAGAAACAAGTTCCTGGTTATTGTTTCTCTAATCTAAATTAACCATCCCTCAAAGAAAATATCAAGTATGTTTCTGAAAAGGGCATGAACTATGTCAACACAGAAGCCACACACCTGCACCAGTTCTCTTCAGCAAGTCTTTGAAACATTTGCCAGCTGAAGCAAATATACTGAAACACAGGGATCCAAAGTTTCAATGACTCTAAAGAGATCTCCTTTCACAAATCTGAACAGAGGTATGAAAGTGAGGTTGCTTTTGCAGACAGACATACCTAAAACAAACAGGGAAATCCCAACTTTCTTAATATAGAAAGTGCTCTGGTGATCTAATAGGTACGGATTAGTGCTGCCAATTCAAAGGTGGGTGGTTTGAATCCACCAGCAGGAGAAGGATGGGCGCTCTCCGCCCCGCCCCCCCCCATGCAATCTGCAGCCTCTGAAAACCCAGAGGTCACCCAGGAGTTGGTTCCAACTCAGCCACATTAAAAAACAATAACATTAGAAGGCAGCAAAAAAGACCAACACCAACACCAATTTGGGGGGGGGGGGTGGCAGTAAGATAGTTCACGAATACAAATGTTTCTTGCATATATAAGGTGATCTCCTCAAAGGTGTTCACCCATAATAAACTAAAATAAGACTTTTCTTTTTTAGTCCTATCAAAAATTTCCTTATTAATACTCTGTGTTGTTCTCTCAGAGTAGGGGAAAGAAGCATTCTTACACTCTGAGATATAAGTAAATAGGTTTAAATTTTTTGGGAAATTTGGGATTATTTACCAAAATTACAAATTCACATACTTTTTGATCAAGTATTCAGTGATCTTGGGAAAATTCTGAATAAAGATACAGTGAGAAACAGAGCATTACATCTTTACAGTGTTTTTCATTGAAGCACTTTTTAAAATAGAGCAAGTAAAAATACACTTAAGTGTCTGTGCACAGAGGGACAGGTACAAACATACTGCACACACATACAAGGGAATGCACACAGCCATTACCACCTCTTGATTTCTATCTTCAAAAAAATCTTTACCTGGACTCCCTGTTCCAGGTATGTCTGTAGAAGCTACAATACCTGAACCTTACTGCTCTGTCAACACAACCTTCCAGTTTTATAAGACACCCAAGTCTTCAATACCCCAGACAAACACCCTTCGTATGATCATTCCTTATGTTCCCTCATCAACCTGGGTGGCTTGGTGCTGGCTTACAAAATCCATGGAAGTCATGGGTCAAAGAGTAATTGGTGTTCTATGTTACTGAGCTGGAGAGACTGTGGTCCATCGCCTGGCAGCTCTGGAATCTCTGGAGAGCTTGGAGAAATAATTTAGTATACAAATTGTAGTCTATATTGGAACAAGGTGGCCCAGAGAAGCTTGGGTACAGGCAGTTCCACACCATCAAAACAATTTTAACTTCATCAGAAGAATGTGCTATCAGATTCTGTTCTGTATTTTCTTTTTTAAAAAAATCTTCCAGGGGACAAAACCCTTTTTGAGAATCTAACAAGCCTGTCACAGACAGTGCCAGAAAGATGTGTTTCATCACCAGCATCGTTCAATGGCCAGATGCTGTCAAATTGCTCTTACTAGTGGCAAACACATGTGGGTCAGAGAACTGAGCTCCCAGGGTTTCTGCTCTAGCTAGGTTTTTAGAAGAGCTTCAGACACTTCTTCAGAGGCTCCCCCAAGTAGACTTAAACCATTAATCTTTCAGGTAGAAGCCAAGCATATTAACTGTTAACAGCTAGGGGCCCCTTCTTTTACCAAGGAGAGGGGAAATCTCTACTCGTACTTTAAACTTTCCCCTTCTCCTCCATGGTTATTGTTTAAGTCACTCAAAACTATGGCCAAAAATGCCTCACAGTGTTTGGTGGAGCTCCCCGATTAAAACAAGCTTGGAAGCAGGAGTGGCATCCACTTCTGAAATAGCTTGCCTCCAGAAACCCTATGAACTTGTAGAAATGATGGAAGTTATACATGTGCTCAGGTCTTTCATTCATAGTGTGACTAGGAGTCGTCTATGACTTGACACTTAACAACAGTGTACTTTTAGAGCGGTGAAAATATGGAACATGATTCTGTAATGGCAGCCACATGATACTACTGTTTAAAAAAAAAAATCCATACAGCTAGACAACACAGAGTATACCGTAAATATCAACTATGAAATAAGTTTATAATGCTGTAGCATAGATTGAATTGTGTCTTCCAAAAATATGCGTTATAAATCCAACCCCTCAGTGCCTAAGGTTATAATCCCATTTATAAACTGTTTTTGTTGTTCAGCATTTCTTAAGCTCAAGGAACTGAAGAACAAATTCAAACCTCGAGCTGCTACACTTAAGGATGCTTTAGGCAGAATATTAAATGATCCAGGAAGTATTAAAAGAAAATGGAAGGAGTATACAGAGTCACTGTACCAAAAGGAATTGGCAGACAGAGTAGATTTTCATGAAACAACATATGAGCAAGAGCCTATGGTGATGAAAGAAGTTCAAGGTTCTTTCAAGAAATTGGCAAAAAAATAAGGCCCCAGAAACTTACAGTATACTAATTGACGTATTTCAACTAACAGATGCTGCCCTAGATGTGCTCATCAAGTTGTGAGAAGATCTGGAGAACAACCACTGTCGAATTGACTGGAAGAGATCTTATTTGTTCCCATTCCAGAGAAAGGTGATCCAACAGAGTGTGGAATTTATTAAACAATATCATTAATATCATAAGCAAGCAAGATTCTGCTGAAGGTTATCCAAAAATGACTGGAACAGCGCATCAGCAGAGAATTACCAGAAGTCCAGACTGGGTTTAGAAGGGGTCCTGGTACTAGGGATATTGTAGCTAATGTCAGATGGATCTTGGCTAAAAGCAAGGCGTACCAGAGGAATGTCTGTGTTTCACTGATTATAAAAAAT